TTTCTGTTTTTCTCTTAGTTTCTCTTTGCTCACTTTCCAAGTGTTTCAATACTACTTCTGCATAGATGTTCAAGTCTGTTTCAATCTGGTTTCAAAGGGCTACCAATGAGTCTTCAACCCAAAATAGGTTTGATGTGAGTTCACCAATACAACATAGTGTAACAGCTGAACTTCACTGTTGCAATTGATATTGTGTCATAACTCAGGTAAAATCAATCTAGAGAGTTTTCAGTCCAGCTTAAGAGTGAATATTGAATGAAGACATAATGCTACAACTAGCTACACGAAGTTCTCAGATGATATACCTCCATGCCTTCCGCGCCCTCTGGCCGAGTTTCGGCTCGATCGGCAGGGATGTCTTCCCTCTGGAAGACCTTGTGTACTGCTCCAGCAGCGCGTTGAGGGATACGGGCGGGTTCGCTGGCGGGGTAGCGGTATGTCTCCCCAGCTCCATGCGCCGTTTATACCGATGAGGTGTAGCGGAAGGCCGGCTGCGCGGCAGGACGGCGTAATTGCGCCTTTGATCGCGCGGGCCAGCCGCTGCCAGTGATCCGTTCCACTTGTGAGTCCACGGCCCGCTGGCCCTGGGGCAGTGTCGGAACGCGGGGCAACGCGTGCACACAACGCAGCCGCATGCCGGCGTGATCGAAGGACGAGGAGCGCGGGACAATGGCGCAGAATGTGCGTCATATTGCAATCAGCCTTCGAATTCAGCAGAGGACGGAGGTCACTCACCGAGATGGGACGGCGCGAGGCAGGACGACGGCTGGGTCGTTTCCCTTGGGATTCGCTGGAGACGGCCGCGCAGAGCCAGGCGCCCGCTTGGAACTTGTAGAAGATGGAGAGACATATTTGTCCTCCCCGCCCTGTGTGTATCAGGCGGAACGAACGAGAACTGGACCCACCACCCCTCGAGTTTCGCGCGACAGAGTTCGCTCCGCGCCGAGCGAGCCGCTGCCCCGTTCCCCTTGTAAATTTCAGGAACAGGAGGGCCAGAATGGCGCTAACCTAACCCTAACGAGTAGCAAATGTGCTTGGCGCTCACCGATCTCGCGCACAGCAGCGACGATGGCCTCCATCGACTGAGGAGACGCCGAGACAGCTGTGGCCGTGAAGAATGAGTGGCGTGCCTTGCGCGTCGCGAGTTTCGCGCCAGTAGACCGCCCTGATACGGTGCGCTTTTGTGAAATTTGGCCCCCGAACTCCCGAGTTGTAGGTGCAACTTCTTCGTCCAGAGTTTGAGCAAGCCGTGGTCATCCGGGGCCGCGATGAAGGCAGGAGAGACGAAAGGGAAGGGGAGTGGGCAGGATGGGCCCCAGTTCGCGCCAAGGATGGCTTTGGAGTCAAAGTCACTTATAGTTGTTTGAATTCAGCCTTTGAATTCAGCAGAAGACTGAGTTACCGACCTAGACGAGACGGCGCGATGCAGCACGACAACTGGGTCGTCTGGCTTGGGATTCGTTGGAGATGGGCGCACCTAGCGCCGCTGCCCGCGGCTTCCTTCCTAGACTAAACACGCGCGAGGCGGGCCGGGACGCGGCTGCCTTCGGAAAACCCCGGCCGGGCCAGGCGCTGGCCCGTTCCGCCTGGAGTTTCGAGAGGACGGAGGATATATTGGTGCTCCCCACCCTGTTGGTATCAGACGTCACGAGCAAGAACTCGGCCCGCCGTCCTCGGGTTTCGCGCAACAGAACCCGCTCCGCGCAGACCCACCCGCTTCGCTATTCGCCCTAGGCCTGAAAACTTCAGGAAGACGAGGACTGGATTGGCGCTACCTGCGATGAAGATTTCAGACAGAACGAGCGACGAATGCGCTCGGCGCTCACCGACCTTGCGCTCAACGCGGACAACAGCGACGACGGCCTCCATGGACTGTGGCAGACCGTGGAGACGCGCCGAGACAGATATATCCAGCCTCTAGAGTCTCCCTGGACGTTGAGAACGCGGTCCGGGGCGATTTCTGGGCGAAGCGGCCAAGAGTCGGCCATAGTCGCGCCTTGCGCTGGCCCGGAGCGGGGAGATCGCCGCAAAAGTCGACCGCAACGAAGAGGGAGTGGCCCAGCTCGCGCGTAGCGGGTTTCGCGCCAGTCGACCGCCCCGATGGCGCGTTTTCGTGAAGTTTGGCCCCACAACTCCCGCGTTGTTTCGCCCAGAGTCTTCCTTGCTGTGCGTTGAGGAGTTTTGACTCGGAGTAAGCCGCGGGCGTCCGGGGCCGCGAAGAGGGCAGCAGAAACGAAAGCAACTCGGCAGGAGGGCCTCAGTTCGCGCGAAGGACGGCTTTGGAGTCGTCCGTGAGACTGGCGACAACAGCGGTACATGGTCTTGAGGATTTTGACAGCGGATGGCGATCCACCGGGCGAGAAATGGCCAGGGGAGCTGCAGGATGCCCCCAGTCAAAGAGTTGATGACGCGCCTGAGCAGCAAGGCACGGGAGACGGGGTTCCAGCGGTGAGCATGTGGTGGTTGATAAAAAAGAAGCACGCTGACAAAAATCCGGCATGCGGCGCCGAGGGCCGGGCGGGTTCCCACACAGCCTCATGATGATGAAGTTTTGCTCCTTCACCACAACGCGCGCATGCACCGACGAGGAGGGGAGATGATGCTGGGGCGGAGCGTAGATGTGGGCCGAGTGGATGCTTCTTCGTTGTAGCGCTGGAGCGGGCCGAGCGGCATCGCCGACGTCATTGACCGCGCAAGCAGGAAAGCGGGCAGCGGGTAGTGGGAGCAAGAACCTGCTCAGAGGGCCCTTCTTCTTGTGCAGCGCTGGGAGCCAGACGCTCAGGTGGGGCTGCAGGTGAAGAGGTGGGCGGACTGCGCGCTGGCAAAGAAGAGGGATGACGGGTGTGTTTTTTCATGCTCTTCTTGCGTCATGTCCGTCTCACTCTTTCCCCGTAGCTATCAGCTGGGCTCGGGCCCCCCCATGCTTTCCCCGCTTTTCCGCGACTCCATCTCGAGCCAACGCGACGGTCTCAGCGGGTCAAGCCCCTTCAATTCTCAGCTGGGCATGCCCAGATGCATCCGTTCCCCCACTCCTTCAATGAGAACCGATGCAATAATCCTCTTTCGCCATCCTGGTTACTCCCTCTCGACTCCCCCGAAAGCAATCACTTCCCGCTAGCGGGGCTCTTCCATCGAGGGAACGCCTTCGATTCAAAAGGAGGTTGAGGGCTCTTTAAAAGATTAGCGTGACACGGAAGGAAAACCGGGTGCGTCCAAGCAAGCCTCTTTTCGAGTCGGTCTGACAAATCTGGCTTTTCGTCTAGTACACCTATCGTTTGGAATTCAGCTGCAGCGACTTCCGCATATCCTCGCCAACAAGCGCGACTTCCCGTGTCCTCTTCTTCTAATATACTCTGCCGACTCAGTGGATTTCGGAACCTCTAAGAAAGAAAAAACCGAAGGAACAAACAGAGGCGGCGGATAATGGTGCGTTTGCTGTTCTAGCTCACTCCTCATGGTGACACTCTTCATGTAGGGGAAAAAACCGCCGACAACCCCGCCTCTCTGTCCCAGAAACTCTCAAGCGACCTGCTTCTCGATAAACTTGAAAAACGAGCACCATTGCCTTCGACTAACCGCCCGCCATATGCACCTCCGTCTACCATAGACTCCTTCAAAGCTCTTAATCAACTACACAATGTGACATTCTCCACCAACGCGCCATCCGAACGACTTTCTTTCCTCGAAAAATTTCGACACAGCCACTGTCACACGTGACGACGTCACTCTCCGCGAAAGCGATATGCAGCTCTTCGCCCTTTGGTCTTCGCCCTCTATCGACCCTACCTCCTTCCAATACCCGGCCGATATGACACGCTTAATTCTTTCGGACCTGATACAAGGCTCTCGCTGAGCGCCATTTCATCTGCGTCTTGACTTCGTCGTGGGGGACATGGTGGATTTGGAAGTGGGCTTTGGGCCGAATTTGACGAGCGCTGGTGGTGCCTTGGAGTGCTCAAAGGCCTTATGGGCTGTCTTCAGAGTCCCGGATGATAATGCTCACCATTCTCGTCGCGACGACCGGCGGCAAAAGGGCTAACTGCGCTCCCAATCCTCTGGTCATTCCCCTCCATCCGTCGGTCCTCGAATAACGCTCCGGCATACCCCTCATTCACGAGCATCTCACGAAAATGCGCGTTACTCTCCGCGAACGCCACACTCGACTTTCCCTCCGAGTCGTGGTCACACAAAGCGCTATGCAGCTCCTGCTTTTCACCCGTTTACCTTGGGCCTCTTTCGACCGTACCTCCGTCTGCTACATGACCTATATGACACGCTCAATTTGTTTGGACCCGTATCGACGAGTGTAGGGCTCCCGCCGGACGCCATTTCATCGCCGACTCGACTTCGTCGTGGGGGACATGGCGACGGCGGAAGTGCGCTTTGGGCAGGGGTTGACGTGCGATGGTGGCTTGTTCGAAGGCGGGGAGCTCGTCTGCGATGTTTCCGGGGCTGCGAATGACGATTCGCGCAAGTGCCGACGCTGATTCTGGAGGAACGACGCCAAGTATGAAAAATCTACTAGTATGGCTGACCCGTATTCCGAGTCCGGTGGTATTCGCAACCTTGTACAGCACTGTAAAGTCTGTCACTTCCCAAAAACGCGGGTGCCGCTTGGGACCAGCCCTGCGGGTCTGTTTGTCCCTCCGGATTCGCGCTCGATGCCTCTTTATATGCTCTTTACCCTGTTCCACGGGACTCGATCATGCTCACCTATAAGTATGTATATATCTAGGGAGATGCCCAGGACACGTTGAATGCGCGGGGCCATGCATCGGTTTCGAACAGGCCGACGCTGAGCAAGCGAGGTTTGCCCCGGACATTGGTCATTGGCTATAGAACTTGTTGCTAGAACATTCGGCAGTAGCATAAGTGCTTGGAACAAAGGCGCGTGGCCCCTTTCGCAGCGCATTTCCGCTCTAAAGCATATCGGTTACGCAGGTAACGACATCAGCCTCGATTCAAAACACCGTGACGTTCCTCACGTGCGCGTGACACTCATGTCGTCGTACCACCACCACCGAAGATCCGAGTTTAATTTCTGGGACAAGGGTGCGCTTCTCTGCGTGCGGGCCCCGTACGTGACCGTACTTACAAAGAACATTAGCGTTATGACGGTGTATTGCGACCGCTGCGACCGCTACTTCCCTCACTACGGTGCCCTCGCGCAGCACGAGGCGGGCGTCGAGCGCACACTGGCTCTGCGACGACTGCGAGATCGACTACACGACGTGGACGGGGCTGAAGGAGCACTACGTCCAGAGCCGCAGACACTTCTACTGCCAGCACTGCGACGAGCATTTCGACGATGGCGGCGAGCTGGCGGAACACATGGACGACGCACATTTCTACTGCTCTTCGTGTGAGCGGGTGTTCAAGAACGAGCAGGGGCTGCACGAGCACTGCCGCCAGTCGAGCGTGCACCACTACTGCACCCCCTGCCGCCGGCTGTTCACCTCCGCAAACAACCTCAACGCGCATATGAACTCGGCGCTGCACAAGCCACGCACGATCACGTGCCCCGGCCGCGGCTGCGGGCAGTCCTTCATCAACGGCCCGTCGCTCGCCGCGCATCTCGAGGCGGGCAGCTGCGCGTCGGGCGCGAACCGGCAGTCGCTCAACCGCTACATCCGCGCGCAGGACACGCGCAACGTGATCACCGACCCCGCGCGCCTGATCGCCGCGGCGGAGAGCGACAACACGCGCTACGTCGCGACCGGGCGCAGCTGGAACGGCACCGCGTACGAGTGCTACCTCTGCCACGGCAAGTTCCGCACGCTGCCCGGGCTTAATCAGCACCTCGCGAGCCCGCGCCACGAGGAGCAGACGTACATCTGCCGCGGGCCGGGGTGCAGCCGCCGCTTCCAGACGCTCAGCGCGCTGTGGGCGCATGTCGACAGCGAGCAGTGTGGTGTCGCGCGCTTCGGTGCGGTGAAGCGCGCGATGGACGAGCTGTCGGACCGGTTGCAGAGGACGAGGATTGCGAATTAGAGGGACAGAGACGGAACTCGATGAAAGCAGAAACCTTTACTGTCTGTACTAATCGATAAGTTTGACTGCGATGTACAGAACCCAGGTGGGAGCCTGCGCGCATTCCGTTCACATCTGGGGCAACTTATAACCCGACAAAATCTTATGTATTATGAGGGAATGTGGGTTTTCTACCATAGAACATAGTTGGTGGACCACTGAATCCTATAGGTTATGTAGACTTCGACGGTATGCTACTAGAGCATTCCAGTCCTCCAGAACTGATATTATATATTTTTGAGCTACAAGATGTTAAGAAAACGAGACACCACCTTAATGGAAACCGTGCGCCGCGTGTGCATTCGCGCGCCGGAGCATCAGCGCATATGACGGCGCGAGGCCGGACCAGAACTCTGCCACGTCCAGAGAGATCACCCCCGCGCTGTACGCCACACGGCGCAGAACCTCCTGTGCCGCTACATCAGAGCCAAACAGCTGTGCAGCGCTGCATGGTTGCTCCTGATTTGGCGGCAGCCTGAGCTCGACGGTGGAGTAGGTATACATGACAGTGTTGCTCAGCAAAGTAATGAGGCCGCATTCCAGCATTGCGTCCAGCATTGGGTTTGGTTTCAGCGGCAGAGCGCGGACGAGAGGCTCCGTGCGCCGCAGGAACTGGGCCGCAGAGTTGATGCGTCCAGAGATCAGCGCAATGTCATGGCGTGCTGACAGCTTTACGTCTTGATCAATCGGCATCGGCAACTAGCGGGCCGACTGGAAGGTCCTCGTAAGCGTCGTAAGAGTTGTTGTTGATGTGGTGATTGATGTTGTGATTGTTACTTCAATAAAATGTGACCTCAACCACATGACTGCGGAGTTTCCGCGGAGTCCAAGTGCGCGAAATTGTGGACATGGGTTTTCACGCTTTTGCGCAATTTGGACTTGGGGTGGGCTGAGGGGTGGGCCTGCCTTATATATGGAAGAGCAGCCTGGCTTCAATGACCCTGCTCTTCCTGTTGTGGGTTCTGGGGGAAGACAGTGAAAGTGGATCAGTCTGGTCTGTGCTTCATTAAATTGGCGGAGATAGGATGTGCTGTGGTAAGCCAAGGGGTAGCGAGGTTGGTTCAACACCTTCCGAGCTGAGCTCAATCTCTTGGTCATGGTGTGTTCGTCAGTGGTTTGCTAGTAGCTGTCTTGTTGTGGCATTTTATCTTTGGTCTGGCAGTCTTCCTTAAGACTGCCACTAAGCTGATGGGAGAGTAGTGACCTCCCATTCAGCCACTACACCTGATTGGCAACTCAGTAAAACTGCTAAAAACAGTTCAGAATAACAAAAGTCTTCTTACAAAGTGGATCATCTGGGGGATTGTACTCTTCCTGCATTCACAACTCATGTTGGCTTCTCTTTCTGTACTATGGGTATTTTTTTTCTTTTTTTCCCACACTTTAGGGCCAGCCCTATAAATAACTTATATATAAAAAAATATAAAGACTGGCCCTAAAGTCTTGAGGGCCAGCCTTATAAATGACTTAGTATAGAAAATATATAAGACTGGCCCTAAAGACTCAATAATTAGTTGAACTTAACTGCCAGGACTTTAGGGCCGGCAACTTTGCCAAGTTCAGATTGACCACTGGGCCCTAAGCCTGATTGTTCATACTTGGAAGTAATTAACTGCCAGCCTTCAGAATAACTGCCCGCTTTGTGAGGTGATAGATGTTACAAATTAAACACTAGGTTCAGTTTTGACCTAAGCTTAATTGTTACTAGTTGGCTCACAAAATGCAGAAAGGTGAAAAATTACGAGTGTCTTTTAAGGTGGAAATCCGCGGACTCCACTTTAGGGCCGGCTCAATTGATGAAAGTTGTAGATATTCAAAATTAATGACTAGGTTCAGTTTTGACCTAAGCCTAATAGTCAATGGTTAGGCCAGAAAACACAGAAATGTAAAAAATCACGAGTGTCTTTTAAGGTGGAGGTCCGCGGAATTCCACTGTAGTTCAATCCCTAAGTTAAACTTGACTTTAACCTAACTGCCAGGTGGAAATCCGCGGATTTCCACTTTAGGGTCGGGGGTCAATTAATGAAAGTTGTAGATATTCAAATTTTATGACTTGGTTCAGTTTGGAGCTAAGCCCAATTGTTAATGGTTAAGCTAGAAAACACAGAAAAGTGAAAAATTACGAGTGTCTTTTGAGTGGAAGTCCGCGGAAATCCGACTTTAGGGCCAGTTCAACCCTTAAGTTGAACTTCACTTAAGATGGAAATCCGGAATTCCACTTTCAAACAGTGTTAGGGTTATAACTTAGCCAATTCTTATCCGTTTGGAATGATTTATATACCATTAGAAAGCTATTCAAATTCTCTATCACATGGGACTGAAGCATAAGAGCCAATAAGGCAACTGCCAGTCCAGATTTGAACTTTTTTCCTGTTACTAACATAACTCAGTCAATTCTGATTCATTTGGGATAATTTATAGATCATTGAAAAGGTACTGAAAATCTCTACTTTGAGATGTGTTGGTACCTGACAATCTCTGAAACTAGCCTAACAGTGTAACTTGGCTAACTCTCAGTTGAACTTACCCTGGAAGTTGACAGAATTCTATAATGAAAGTGGTAGATTACAAAATGTAGAAGATCATAGGTGTCTTTTGGGGCGAGGTTCAAAACAGTAAGGCTTATATTTCAATGAGCTTTGACTTGTTGATAGTGATTCTGATATGGTCAGAGAGGTATGAGAAAGTTCTACAAACTTGATTACACAACATGACTACACATCTATCAACTTTTACTACAGAATACTGTGGCAGTTGAGCTTATTTCTAGTTTGACCATAAAGGTCTTCTTCACAAGAGTTTAAAACTTGCTTTCAACTATACATTCACAGAATTTCAATCAAATGACTTCAAAGCAGTATTAGGCTCATTACTGAGGTTCCTATATGGTCAGAAAGGTATTGAAAGGCAAGACTAACTGACTTTTATAACAGTCAATGACTAGGTTCAAAACAGTATTGGGCTTGTACCTCTAATGACCATTTGGAATCTGTCATATATATGCACAAATGTCCAATAGGCCTACAAACTGGTCTTTGATTGTATACCAAACTTTGACTACAAAATACTCCTTCACTGCTGAGTGAGTATTCAATTTCTAATGATAATCAACTCTGTCAAGGTTTCAACTCACTTTCACTGACCACAAATCTATTGACTTTTGTCAATACCACTTATGGCAGCTACTAACTGCTAAATAAGTATTCAATCTATGAACTCTGTTAAGATTTCCGCTTTATTATTTTGATATCAATTATATATCATTAGAGAGGTTTTAACTTGGCATTGAACTCACTTTTATTGACTACAAATCTATTGACTTTTGTTAGTGCAACTTATAGGCTATTACTCTATAACTTCAAAACAGTATTAGGGCTGTATCCTAAAGGCCTCTGAATCTAGCATTCAGCTCACTTTTACCTGGCCAAAAATCTCACTTGGGCTTGTCAGAAGAGTTTATCTCAGTCATTTTTTGAGCTTCCAGAATGGTTCTGGTATGGCTGGAAGGGTCTCTGAATATACTATAATCTAGTATTCAACTCACTCTTACTCAGCTCAAAATTTAGTCCAGTTGTTGAATGTATTGACTGAAGACTGTACTTCCGAAAGAAAAGTCACCTAATGGAGATAGCAAAGTTCAGTTCAGTTCAGTTCAAGTTCAAGTCCTTTGTTCGCAAACACCAAACCTGAACTTGGTTCAGGTTTGGCCCCAGCTTGAACTTTGAATCAAACTTGGCATTCAGGTTCAACCTGGTTTAGTTCGCATTCAGAAGAGACTTCGCACATGGGCGTGGCCAAATGGCGTGGGCCTGCGCCAACAGGCGTGCATGCCTGTGATGGTGTGGGTGTGGCGTGGGCGGGTGTGGGACACCTTCGGCGCCTTACCGGTGGCACCGAGTGAGCTATTGCCATGGCCCGATGCCTATATGGTAGCCTTCCATCGACTAAACGCAAGCTTCGCCTGCGATCTACATGCATCAATCATGTTTGATCATCGCCCCCCACAGTACCAAGATGTCTTGGCGATCCATTCAACACCTCTACGCAACCTCTACCACCTTGTGTGACTTACGGCGAGCATGGAACACCCACCTTTTCTAGGGGCTGGTCAGCCCTGCCATATTGGCAAGGGCCTGGAGTGTTAACCCTGGGACTAGTTACGCAATGTTCCCACGTTGGACGTTGAGCACACGAACCGCAGAGCGTGATCGCGAGTGCGTGGCTGTGTATCACTCAGTCAGGTTGCTGCAGTCATCCTTGGTGGATGCTAGTTGTTTGTCCGTTAGTGTCAGCATGTCGACCCTGAGGATGGATGTCGGGGAGTTTGTAGGGCTGTAGAGCCATGTACGGTACGGTCTCTGACAGCGCGGGGCGGCCCCATGCCGCACCGTAAGCCCTCGAGTTCAAGGCGCTTATGGTACGGGATGGTGCCGTCACGCCGAATACGGTGACGGTACGGCCGGCTAGGCCACACGGTGTGACCTGGGCCAAAGTCGGGCTCCGAGCGACTGGGCTGGGGCGGGCAGCGGTGCCAAGCACCGGCCGGCAGTGCAGGCCCGCCTGAGTGCTGGCCTGGCTGTGTTGGCTGACCACCAGCAGCCGCTGGGCCCTAGCAACCGGCGCCCAGGGGTCCGATACCGGACGGATCGACGATCTCCGGATCAAATCCCAGGATAGCCGAGGTTATACAGGACCACCCTTACGGCGTCACCGACGTCCCGTCACCATACCGTCAACTCGGTCCCCAAGGGGCCTTACGGTACGGTTACGGCGCCGTATTACGGCTGGCCGTACGCCGTATATTACGGCGATGGCCTACAGCCCTAGGAGTTCGGGGCTCCAAAGGAGGTACCGCGACTCCTTGGGCCTGACACGACCTGATTCGAACCTCAACAATTGACGGAAACAAGGGACCGTGTTAACAGGCCCTTTCAGTTCAACTCTACCCTGACAATCTGTCT